AAAATTACTGATTAATTCACAAATGGAAAATGGTGATTTTCCCCAACAGGTAAGAAAATTCACTTAGACAAACGATCAATTCAAAGTATAGTAAAACCTATGAAAGTAATTTTCTATCTAATATTGTTTTACTAATTTCCTTGTTTCTTATGATGTTTAATTCATCGGTCATATACTACAGGAAATCACTGGAGTCTTCAATAAGAACTGTATGTTACACTATGCAGCATACAGAAACATCTATCCAGTGTGGGCACTTGGAGAATACCGGAGGCGGGTTCTGAAACCATCCAAGAACATCCAAAATTAATTCATAACTTTCACAGTTCTCCTTATTCAAATAAATCCATGAGAATGCTTCCACTGTTTTTTCCTTTCATTCATGTCTGTATTTTCCTTCTGTGAATGTGTGAGGTTGTAAATACAGATATCCACCATATATAATCTTCATATGTTTAGCTGAGAAAGATTGCTGGGCAAAGGCATGAGTTCTCTCTCTCTCTCTCTATCTATCTATATATCTATATATATATATAAGAAATAGTTACTTATATACCTTGAGTTTTAAGGAAACTACTTAATATAACCGATAGTTTTAAAAACAACTTACATATACTTGTTGACCATTCAAACGTTAAATCTAACAAATATAATGTAAAGGACAAAATTTAAGAGGTTTTTTTTTAATTTCCTCCTATACTATCTTTGACCTAAGCTGTTAAATCCATCCACATTATTATATATCTCCCTTTAAAATGTAAATGAAAGCCTTCTTTATTTTCTCCTTTAGGCTTAGCTTGTAAAGAGTACAAATATAAATATGTACAGTACAAACACATACAAAATAATACAAAATAAAAGGTTTGCATGCTACGTATTTGTATTTGTACTCCTTCCAAATGGAGCCTCAGTCTTTAACCTAGTCTTTTAAAGCCTTCCACATTCTTGTATTTATTATGGGCATTTCAGTAATCCAAATGTTTTCACCGGAGAAGATGAAGAAACCAATCACTAATGTTTAAAATGTACTTCCATTGTTGACCGAAATTCCAGCAGCAAAATTCCCTTCTCTAACATCTTGACCCTCACAAAAATCCCTATGTGATTCCTTTTCTTTGTTGCTCAGTAGCTTGCTGCCTCTAGCAAAGAGGGGTACCTCTCAGCACTCGGTTTTTGCTCAATCCCTTCTTTAACCCATCTCTTGTATTTTGGATGCTCGATCAAAATACACCAATCTCTTTAAAATGTGCCAAAACCCTAAGAAACTAAACTTTAGCCCAAATACCCTCAAATCTACCACTAAATCTACAGTTCCCTTCCAATGGTCACAGTTGTGCCACATCACTATATTTGATCCCCGATCAAACTCTATTACATGAAACAAAATCTTTAAAAAACCAATCACACCAAATTTCTACCCTAAATTCCTTAGTTTAGTCATTCATCTATAAGAGGTTCTATTTCAACATACTTGATGCTACGCCACATCTTGAGCCTAAAACCTGTGATCTATATGTCTCTAACACAATCAAACCCTTCCAACAGCATCGTAACCTAAATCCATGTCACTATACCAAATTTCAAATCAAAAACCCCCTATTAGACCTTCCATCAAGCTAAGATTCTATTTTGGAAAATCTCATTGATTAAATCTTACCAACCGTGAATCTCCATCACCCAAGCTTTGTCTAATCAATCAGACCTTACCACTTCCTCCAGAAACACAAGAATGCCCAGAACATCAAATTCCTCTGTTTCCCGTTAAACAAGCAAGATTCCATTTTGGGCCTTCTCGTTAATTGATAAACCATAAGCTGAGATTTGACCTTAACCAAATCTATCAACCTACACCCCTGATCAAAGACCCATCACTCTCATCAAATTTGGAACATCCAAAAGTGCCTACCCACCAAATTTCATCTCAAAACTCCCCCGTTCAACCCTTCATCAAGCCAAGGTTCTATTTGGAACTCCCCCATTCACCTCGCTGTTGTCTGTGTGCTTTTTCTTAATTGTTATGCAATAAGCCGAGAGTATTTTAGACAACTTATCAGTCCAGTCCTTTTGGTTTTCAGCTACCCTCTTGCTTAGCATCTTCAGTAAAGTCTTATTAGTCGCCTCTGCTTGCCCATTCCCTTGTAGGTAATAGGTTGTTGATGTTCCCAGTCATGCCCCATACTATCTCAATAAGTCCTGGACTTCCTGGTTCTTGATAGATAACCCATTGTYCATAAGTATCCTCATCAGGACCCCAAACCGGTGGATTATGTGTTACCTTAAGAAATTTACAATATTCTCTATGCAACTCCTTCTAAATGGTATGGCCTCTATCCATTTTGTAAAGTAATCTGTGGCCACAATGATGAAGCAATAACCTTTAGAGGGCAGATGTATTTTGCCTATCAAGTCTACCCCCCCCCCCCCTAGGGTGTGGAAAGGCCATGGTGTGATGATGGGGTGAAGGTCATTGGATGGTCGGTGTATCTGTTGGCCATGTACTTGGCATGTGTGGCACTTATGTACATGTTTTTGGGTATCCTCCTACATGGTTGGCCAGTAGAAACATAAGTGCATAATATGGTTATAAAAGGCCATTTGTCCTTGGTGTGGGGCTGGTCCGGAGTTATGAGTTGCATCCAATGCTTCTTTTATTTCCTCACTGGCTAGGCAGTGCAGAGGCTTCCTTGTGTAGGACTTCCTGTATAGCACTCCATTTTGCAATTAACACCTTTTGGCTTCGGTTAGAAGTTTCCTTTGCAAAACTGGGTTGACTGGTGTAATACCATTCTGGATGTAATCTATGTACATGTCTCTCCAATCCACATCACTCACTATGAGGCATTGATTTTTATCTGCCTCCGGTATACATTCTCACAGTCGTTTTGTATCTTAGCCGAGTCTACTTTCTTCTTTATCCAATAATATCCTAACCTTTGCAACCTCCGATAAAGTGTTGGCATTACGTCTCCGCAATAGGCTTTGTGAGTTTCATTCAGGACCACTGATGTTTCCTTGGGTCCTAGGCACCTTGCCCTTACTCCATCTGCCATTTTGTGATATAACACCCCATTTACCAGTTGGAACCTCAAAAGAATCCTGCCATCTTGCACCGCTACCGTTGGGTTACTTAATTTTTGTATTATACTATATCTCCAATCTTCTTCTTTAACATCATACTTTGTCTTAACCTAGTGCCCCAATCTTTTTGTTAATGGCTCACACTACATCAGAGTTGCTATGGTGATTGGGCTCTCACTTAGTTGTATCTTAGATCCCAGGGTGGCTAGTGCAACGACATACCTATTTTTTGCCCTATTCTGGTGCTCATAGGTTACTTCCAGATCTCTAGTCAACCTTTGGATCAATGTTCTATATGGTAGGATTGTCAACTCTTTCACCGTTGTGATGATTTCCATTTGTCTAATAACTAGTTTGGAGTCCCCTACTACTTTTACCTTCTTTGCCCCAGAATCCCTTTCTATTGTTAGGCCTAGCATTAGTGCCTCATATTCTACAATGTTGTGCGAGCAGGGGAATTGTAGTTTTAATGAGTAGGCTGAAGTTTCTACGGCAGGCGAAGTCAATGTGACTCTGGCTCTTGTGGAGGAGTTTGTACTATTGCCATCAAACATTAGGGTCCATTCTGCATCATCTACTACTGCGATGAGGGGAAGTTCTCCAAGAATTTCTTCAAAGATGGGGAAGTCATAATTAGTGGGGAAGGCAGCTAGGAGATCTACGACCGCCTGGCATCTAATTCCCTTGAGCTGGGTGTACTCGATGTTGTATTTGCTCAAATGCATCATCCACTTTACTAGTCTTCCAAAGAGTGGGGGTTTGTCAATGAAGTATTGGTGTATTCGGAAGCGTGTCGTTAACCACTTCGGAACACCAGTTTCAATATTTATAAATTTTACGATTCTCAAAGTAACTACAAAACGCAGTTAGTGGTGAGAAAGGGGTCGTATCCACAGGGAAACGACGGAAAAATTGTTACGTACTTCAATCCGGACAAAATAACAAGATTTGAGATTGCAAAAACACAAAATTTAATTAATTGAACTAGAATCCATTAAAATAAAATTCTAACAATGCTGAATTTAAAAATTGCAGAAAAATAAATAAATAATAGAAATAAAAAACTAAATAAAAAATCTATAACTCAACCAGAGGTAGCAGTCTCCGAATCTATCCTTTGACCTTCGAACTCCTCGATCTGGGCCTTCCGTCTTACCTGGCCGAATTTTAGATTTGCAGAAAGGAAGACAAAAATTAAATTTGATAAAAATAAATTGTAGAAATAAAATAAAAACAAAAAATTAAAGAACGGAAAATAAAAACACATGTAAAAGTAAATCTAAAACTATGAGAAACTGGTTGGAATCCGGATCCAGAGGTGGCAGTAGTGGCTAGGTGAACTACAAGCAGGAACCCCTCCTGTTGCCTCGATTTAGTCCGGTGCCAGAACCTCCAGTTGTTGCCTCATCGCGTGTGACTATCGATGGCTAGGGGGTTCTGGCAACAGCTCCTATGGAAGGGCCCGTTCCAATTGTGAAGCTAGCGGAGCTAGCGGTTGCATTATCTTCTCCTGGGCATGCCATTGTTCAATTTTCGAGTATGCGGATGAAGAGGAAGGCTCCCCCTCGCCCGAAGCAAGATCTCAAGGATGATGATTCGGTAAGCTTCTTGTAAGTTATGCTTTGTTTTTTTTTTTTCTTTATAGGATATGTTGAAGTGAAACTATGCTAAATTTGCTTGTCTTTTGGTTTTGTTGCAGTCTGTTAGGAGTGATGGCGATCAGGCCGTCATGGGTCTTCCGGTGATTCCATCGGAGCAGACAATGGAGGCCCTAGCAGCGCCCTCGGTCGGGGCAGGTTTGGTGAGTACTTAAGCTCGTGTCCTAATTTTAGTATGTTATGTCTATTATATGTTGCAAGGACTAACTATGAAATAGTCTTTTATTCTGAGGCAAGTTGATCGCGATGAAGCTCAGCTCGGCGAAGGTGTTGTAGGAGTTAATGAGGCAGATCCAGAGGTAAGTCATGGTTATATTTCGTTGTCCATTCGTTATTTGACTTGTGACTGGTCTTAGTAGGCTAACTGCTTGTATTTGGCTTTAAGGGAGGCTGCATCCTGAGATTGTGGGTCCTGCCCTTAACACTACTGCTACCCTAATGAGTCGTGTGATGTGTCACCCGTCAGAGGGTTTGTCGTGGGCTGACTTTGCCTGCTTGTTGGAGGCGTGTCGAGCATTTTCATCGATGAGTTTCTTCATGACCCAGATCGAGCAACGAGTCATCATATTAGTGCATGCCTTTTGGAAGGCCAGCTGGGACATACCTCATAATGACTTGTTCCAT